TAATATAAAACTAATATAATATCAATAAAATAATATAAAATAATGTTTAAAAATATCTATAATATTACAATATAACTGAACAGACAAGAATCTTCAGATTAGGAGTTTCAGAAATATCACCAACTAAGTTACTAAAATGAATCAGAAGAAAAGGATATCAGGCTGACCTGATATACTGATGAATTGATTGTAATCCTATATGAACTATCTGAATTGGAAGTTTGATAAAAAGACTGAACAAAAGATAGGAATATACTAAAGTACTGAGATTATGTTATAAAATAAATATTAAGATCTGTGTAAACTTTACAAGAACACAACAGTTTAATAATTAAATCCTGACTACAAGTGTTGATTCTGCTATAATGATACCTAAATCAACTGTAAAATTAGATACAGAAGACTCTAGAAGGTTTACTTTGAGGATAAATTAATTCTAAGATTGAGATGATGATCTAAACATCTGGATATGACCCAATGAATTAATACAGGTTATAGGTTCAAAGGGTTTAAAATGAAACACCCAAGCAAAGATGTTAGGTATAACAATTAGTAGAAAACCTTCAGGTGGACTCTTTAAATAGGTAATATAGAAAAGTTACACATGCAACCAATTGTACTCTCTCCTGTAGTGGTTCATAGAATCACATTACCAATAAATCATTAATAAAAATCAAAAGACCAAAGAGATCACCTTAACACCAAAAAAAAAAAAGAATCAATTTGAAGTCTAATCAACATGGAAATTTATTAAAAACCAATTTTATTTCCGATAGTGCATAAATTGCATGTACGCATGTGATTCTTTAGTGGAATTATACGAGTCCACTAATTTTTCCCAAGTTACTAGTGGTCGACGATCTTGAATCAGAGAACAAGATCAGGTATACCATAAAAAAATCGAAAGACTCATTTATCCCCAAATTTCGGCTAAGAAATCGCCCTTTGCGAACTAACACAAAAAAAATTCCTTGCAAGATTTTGTTATAATATCATCTGTTAATTCTGTCCGAATTATACTGGACATTTAACACGACAATACACAAGTCCGATGTCGGACTTTTAAATCCTTAGTGATTTACTTGGTTTGCCGATCATATATATATATATAACGAATATAACGACGACTTTAAAATTCGATTATCGCTTCCACATCTAATAACCCAAACAATAATAAAGCTTGTTTGAATATGCAATTTCTTCAAAAATGGTATCATTTATCTATAACGATTTACTTAGTTTGATAAAATCTTTTGTCTAGAATTATGTTATGGGCTGATCATATATATATATAGTGAATATAATGACCCAAACAAAATTTAAAATTCGATTATCGTGCTAATGCTAATTCGAAAAGAGCGATAAACATTTCCGGAACGCCATAATTGACATATACACATCTTGTTTAAGTCTTCCACATCTAATATAACTCGAACAATAATAAAGCTTGTTTTCTCCAAAAATGGATCATTTATCTATAGCGATAAGCTAGTAACAGTTATCTAAAGTACTTTGTTGCTTTCAGAAAATATATAAATATTTCGCAGAAAATCCTTTTTTTTTAGAATTAAGCAATATTATTCTATAGGTTTGTTAGCAAAGCGGATTTCGAATGCATGTTTTACGTTTGTCTTAGTGTCTATCGTTATATGACGTCGGAACCTTTGATTATTTATTGGAATTATATCTTTTAATAGATGACTATTAATAATATAAATTTTGCTGTACGATATTATATTACGGTTTTTTGAAATTCACGTTCAAATGTTTAATTTTATCAGCATTATATATATCAAAATAATTAAACATCGAATTTGAATTTAAGAAATTGTGCTCCCGGAGCCATATAACGATAGATATTGACCTACTTGATTTCCTGTAACTAATTCAGATACTTTATTTAGTAAACATAAATCAATCATGGCACCAAAAGATAATAATTCACTCCAAGCCATGGATGACTTTTGCAAATTTATGGATCAGTGGGCTGATGGTGAGGGAAATCCTCGTCGGCATGCCTTTAGTCTTGGACAATTACTCCTAAAGGCAAATCCAAATTCTAGGAGCAGAGATGGATCTACTCGTGGTATATTTATTATCGGTGACCAAAGTTCAGCTAAATCTACTACCGTAAATAGCATCATTAAACAAGTTGCACTTCAAATGGGTAATAACACTGTCACTAAAGTCAGAACATGGATTGAACATCGGTACGATCCGGATTTGGAGCATGCAACATACGACTTACTAATACAAAGAGAAAGAGGAAGTGAACAACTTGTTCGTGGTGGTACTCTACAGGAACTAACAGAAAGGTTCACCCGAATAAATAATAATATGGATGATACGGTGGAAGCTCGAATTATTATTCATTCTGACATTCCATCATTCGCAATAGATTGTTGCGATAATCCGGGGCTTACACCAATAAATGAAAGAACGCAAACCATCACCGATAATATTACACGTCGTACGCTAGAAAGGGTTTTGGAACGCCAAAAGTCAAACAATGATAGCATCGTGGTGTTATGTGTTTCGGCATTGTTCTTTGAGAATGCATCTTGGCCACGTCATATGGATTTAATTGAACAAATTAATGGCAATAATTTGATTGTCCTTGTAACAAGAATGGATCAACTCAATATTGGAAACGTTGCTCAAGAGATTAGAGACGATGAAGATAGCAATTCTGAAGATAACCATTCTGAGCTTCATCGTTGCAGCCCTTGGGACATCCTCATGCATATTCGCTCAAAGATTGAACGTCAAACTGGTTCCCGTTCCTTTCCAAATGGCGTGCAATTTCATTTTGTGGCTTCCAGTAGTGTCCGTTGGGATGTTTTGTCAGGGCCTGATGGGTGGAATGCATTTGTAGCATCAGAAGCAGACAACGATAAAAAGATGCGCGAAATTCTCGGTGTATGCGACAACGAAACCAAGTATCTACATAATGAACAAGCATGGCGTGAACACGGTATTGAATTGATTCAAATGGATTTGAAACAACAATCAGAATTCATTGACTGTGTTGGGATGACAAAATTACAAGAAAGATTACTCCAAACGTTACATATTCATATTATAAAAGCTGCTGAAGAACTTATGGATTATACTTCTGATTGGAGAAGAGATGAAAAAATGGACCTAGATAATCTATCAAAGCATATGAAACTTCCCGATGATCGAGCAGAATTGATCTCTCAATTTTGCAAACAATTTATATTAGTTTATCAGACTCTGTTTGCTTCACCATTGTATTCTCCAACAATTAATGCTGACCCTTGGTTAAAAGAATTTGGAGAATCAATTAAGAAAGGACAAGAAAATAGCATAGGATACGGGTGGACTTCTAAGGATATGTGGGAAATCTTCGAGAGCCTTAAAGACAATGATGGATACGCTGAGTTTCCACCTCAAGAGTTTTGTGATGCAAACTTTAATTCTTACATGGAAGATATTGATAAATACGTAAAACCTGCTAATGATTGTTTATATACAGCACAAATGTTATTACAACGGTTAACACAAGAATATACCATGCGATCCACTTTGATTCATTTACGTGATCTTGATGTCAGAACATTTATTCCACGTCAAGTACAATTGAGAACATCAACCCAATTGAGTTTCGGTCAAGCCGTAGATCAAAAGATCAGCGAAGATTATAAACAGATTTTTCATAAGCATGAAAAAAGGAATTCTGGTAGTAATCGTTCACATGAGATACAAGGAGGTAACCAATGGGTATCTGTACTTGGAGCCTTGTGTTTATTACTGCACGCGGAGTATACTATTCGTATTATGCGTGATACAATATTCTCTTCTTTGTTACAAGCACAAAGTGACGATCCAATGCGTGGTATCCTTATTTCTAAGTTTGACCGATACTGGGATTTGAGAAAAGAAAATTTAATGAGAAAAGACAACAATATGGACCAACAGCGTGAATGCAGTACAGAAAGTCAAATTGCGACAATTATGAAGAATATTAGAGAAAAATCGATTTCTAAAAGATTTTCTTCAAATAAAAATAAAGTATCACCAATCGATGATTTATCATGGGCTATATATGCTATGTTCTTTGAAGACCCATACTGTCATTTTAAAAAGACATTAGATGAACGTACTGATCTATTAATGATGACACATGCCACATCACTTGTTCACTTTTACCAATTGAGTGGAATCTGCGTGCATCAAGACGAAGAATACCTGATGAGATGGGCAGCAGACAATCCAAAGTCAGCATATGCGAGAGCATTTTTGATTCGAGAACCAGAAGTCAAGGATAGTATAGAAGCTTTAGATAATGTAGTAAATAAGAATGGAGTTGACGATGATGGGGCTAAAAATCTTAGATTCATCTCTTATTTATCGGATAACCTTAAAAAGTTTCAGAGAGGGAAAAAGAACAATAACGATTCATCAGAAGTTAATGAGACAGATTCAACGATTTTTTCAAACCTATCAGAAACAATTACTGAACGGGTAAGAAAAATCGTAATGGGCAAACCTCCAAGTTCAGAAGATAAAGTAAAATTGTTTGTAAACATTGCAGATATGGGTATGAATCCAGATTCGTTTCCAGAAACAGAAAGTAAAACAACCATTACACCCAGAGAAGAATGCACTGTAAATTATGTATATAGACGTCGTTTGACGATGGGAATTACAAGCAGTGTCATCGACACAACTCAACAGCTTGCTAAATCGCAGTATGAATTCAGTCACCAACAAACCGCTCCAACCTTACAGCGTGTATTATTTGGTCGTGTCGCATCATTAATGCTTGGATATGGATATCCTTACCATCCTGATGCTCGTCCTTCATCAAAATGGTACCTTGCGCCAAAGGTAATTGTCCAGTTTCTTCTGGCCAATGAACCAGTTTTTGTGGGCGAGAAAAATATGCCAAATTCACTCGAAGATTGGAACGCTTTACTTGATCCTCGAATTTTGGAATCACCAATTGTTAGACGCATCCGTTTCTTGAGCAATCCTGAAAATGATAACTACGATGCTAAGACAGTGTCGCATTATATTAAACAACTTGATAAAACCAAACCTAACGACATGGATGAATGTATTATCGAGTTTCTTGCTGATGATCGATTTAATTGGCAACCGGATCAGGAGAACCTACGTGGAAAAATGGAGAATTCTAGAAATAATCTAATCAAGTTTAACAAATGGCATAATTATATTGAAGCGTACTTAAGAGTTGCAGAGCCAGTTTTGCTACGTAATGAGAACTCAGTACCAGAAATAAATTTTGATGAAAGTGAAGTAATTGATGAGCTTGACGAATATATGTATGTAGGCAACGAAATATAGTGATTAATTTCGTAAACTTAGCATATACATTCTTTTCCTTCTTTTCTACTGTATTAAATATCTATTGCATTGTTATTTTAAACTAAAAAAATGATACACTTTAATTTATTTCTACTAAACTATCGTGACTACTTTCGTTTACAGTATTTCATGTGACATAATTATACTCGATTGAATCTCCTTTTTAAAAACCCAAATATGTTCTTTATTTTTTTACTTAAGCAGTCATATCGATATTAGAAAAAACCTGTAACAAAAAAAAGGATTCGTCAAAATTAATTATCGTTATTAATATGCAGTTGATATCCAAATTAAAAAAAAATCTTTTATCATTATTGGTTAAAACTAGCAGGCAAATTTGCCTGCTCTACAGTTCATAGGATAATATTGTTTGTTTTTAGACCACGCA